AGGAAATGTGAATAGCCCAAGGCAGAAGGGGAGATACCACAACTGTTTAGCACACGTTTGGTCAAAGGATAGGCTTATTTGTCTTAATAGGTGAAAAATCCGGGAATGTATCAAGTACACGATGATAACATTTCGAAGTTGTACATTGCACTAACCTGGCTCAATTTTCTTTGGTGGTGCAAAGTGGTCGAATCTGCAGTCAACTGTGGATGGAAACACTTTATTGAGAGAAAAACCAAATCTACTAACATCATTCTTGGAAAATTTAACCAGTCCTTCATCATCTTATGCCACCTAGAGTGGATACAGATATTATCTAAGATCCAACTATAGTTTAGAATAATTTGATAGAAGAATTGTAGATGCAAATAAAGTCAAAACTTTAATTCAACCTTTATTAGGTTTCCGTCAAGACTAATTTACAAAGCCCTTGCATCCTATCTTTACTATATATAAAAACATCCAGTAAAATGATATTGTTATCGCATCTGGGTCGTATGTCAAGACACTAAGTAGTTATCCACTTCTTAGTATCTAAGATAGTTGCTGAGTTATAAGGAAGAAGAGAAACCATGACATACATCAATCATCCTCATAAGAGGCTAAATTTTTGATAATGAGTTAATGAACTGCGTAAAGGAATATTATCCTCAGGAGCTTATAGAGTAAATTACAATTGTGTAAACTTTGAGCTGTCTTGCAATATCGATCTTGCTTTGAAATAGTCAACAAAATCTTAATTTGTCAAGCTAGCATGCTTGAGAATCCTCCACATCCGAGGCCAGGACACACCTAATGAATATGGATAACGGAAGCTAAACGTAACTCTGGCCTTAAAAGACATGCTAAATACGAGTAAATTGATAGCGGAAATAGATGAATTGGGAACAACAGCTGGCGTTGTCTCGAAGCAAAAGAGGAATAAAAAGGCTAAGCTAAGAAGAGCCAATAAAGCATACCATTTGAGAGTGAATGCAACTAATTCGAGAAATGGTAGCCAAATCGCAGAAGATGCCCTTATCTCATCTCGTATAGAAAATACTCTCGCCGATGATGACTTTTTCACTCATGTAAAACCATTCCAAAAGTGCTATTCTCCAAGACCAACAACAAAATCTATGCCAACAACAGACAATACGCTAAGTAACTGTGGCCGAACTGACTTGGTAGACGAGGCAATTTTAGGCGCCATGGCGTCCTCACAAAAAGGGCATTCAGAGCCAGAAAAACACAAAAAGGACTACGATGAGGCGGCATCATCAACAGTTGAAAACTTTGAAGATGAAAAGCTAAGCTACGAAATAGTCGACCTAGATGAGTTCATGAATATTACGCCCATGGATAAATATAAACCTACAGAGGAATGCGTATCTGAACAAAATACGTCCCCAGTTTTGTTCTCCTCTTTAATATCAACAACCGAATCTTATTCATGCTGCCTTTCAGTTAGCCAGATGGAGAATACAATTAGTGAATCAAGTGATCTCAGAGTGTTGCATAAGGAATATATGCCCGAAAGTCCATGCAATGTGGACACAACTTTAGCATACACGCTGAAAGAACCAGCTCCTGTAACGTTTGGCAATGACTTGGGCAATGGAGATCATCCTGTTGAAAAAATGAAAAAAGATAGTAAAAAGAGAGTCAATCGGTTCCGTCAGAACTTGATGGACCTTTTTGCAATCTGCACCAATAAGGAGACGATCGCAAGCATGCCACCTTTAAATGTCATCACGCAGACATCTCCGATCGTCTTTTCTTGCGAAGATAGAACCAAGAGTCTTCTACCACCAGTTAACACCAAATTTGTTAGCGGGGATAACTCAAGCAGGAAGGAAGAGGGGACAGCAAGAAGATTCTCGGAAGTGAAAAGGCCGACCAGCAGAATAAACATCTGCCGAAGCAACAGGGAGAGGTACCGAAGGCACCTTGAGCCATCCTGCAACCTTGTCAAATTTCTGTCCACTGTGATCACGAAAGATAATACTAGCGTAAAGCGGATAGAAGTTAACTTGGAGCAGCTGCAGCAAAATGTGGCCGAAATGCGAAACTCTTTAACCGAAGTTCAAGTAAAGATGGAAAAACAAATAAATCTACTTGTGGAAAAATCAGAAAGAGAGAAAGAGATTGATCGACAAAAAGAGTTAGAAACCAAGAAGATGCAGTGTTCTGGAGAGAGACTGAGCAGCAAAAATCAACCAAGGGAAATTAATCCAATAATGGAGACTTCGTGGCCTCTGGATGAGTACCAGTTGGTAGACGTGGATAAGAAAAAAAATATTAGAATGAAAGGGACAGAGGTAGGACAAGGGGAGTCGGATGGTTTTTCGGCAAGAACGAAAGGCTCATTAGCCTATAGACAGAAAGCAAGGATATGGCAGGACCAAGGAGACAATACATCTCCGTACGTCGCAAGATTTCTACGCGACATCCAGGAGGAGAGTAGATTTCGGGAACAAGAGTTGCTAAAAGTAAAACGTCGACTAGCCTCCCAGGAGCAAAGTTGGCAGGGAACTAAGTCACAATTTCCCTTTCCGGGAGCCGGGCTTAAAACAAACCCACGACAGAATCTCATAGTGAGACCTTGTATGTTGGCTCACTCGCAACTGCGTCCAATAAACTTAATGTCAAGTAGTCGTCGACCGGGTACTGGCGAAGGTCGAATAGGCACCAGTGAGAGTCGACGCTCAGCTAATCTGCGCTCCGCTGTAGAACAAAGCTTGCCAAGAAAGATAGAGAGATTGGAGAAAATTTCCAAGTGTATGGTAGACCGGTCAGTAGGTCTTCGAGTACGACAAGCGAGTCAAGAGGGCCTCAAAAAGCGAGTGAAACGAGAAAGGAACAATAGATCCGAATTAATAAATCAGATTGGTGAACAGACAAATAACAATGCTTCCAAGGATCATTCATCAAGCCTAATTAATATAAAAGAGAAGGAAGTAGGAAGTTTGGGGGCCATAAGGGAACAGAAGAGCTTTCATTTTATTTCATCAGCCTTCCCACCAAGCTTCGTCACCAATGGAATTCGTTTTACGGGTCCAGAAGAAAAGGAAGCATCACAACAGAGAGAATACACTTTGCCTGGAGAATTAGAAAGGGAGATGTTGTCTAGTAGTGAAAAGCTACTCAGGAGAAGAGAAATGGTGAGAAAAGCCAGGCAAGAAAGGCTGGCTAAGGAAATTGGGGAAAAGCATGACAAATCAGAGAATACGAATGAAGACAGTATTAAGACAGGCGAGCACAAATCAGCTGAAGCAAAAGGGCCAGATTATGATACGAAAGAGGAAATAAAGCCCCAAAGTAATTGTCGTAAAGAGACAATTAAAAGCGAAATACAACATTATGAAGATAATATGAATAAAACGACCGACTTAGAAAAAATCAAAGGGACTAGCAACATGCAATATGTTAGCTACAAAGAACGAAGAAAACAAGCTTTGATTGCTAAGGCAGAAGAAGAAACAAAAAAACTGCTAGAGCTGACTGTTAAAGTTGCGGCTGAGCGCAGAGAGATGAAAAGAAAATGCAAAAGTAATAGGCCCATACATGACTCTTCACTGGTGGAGAAAACTTTTTTTGATGAACCAGGCAGTAAGGAAGGTGAAAACCAAGATGAATGCAAAAAGAGTTTTGCCTATCCAAGTTCCAGTATCGAAATAAAAAACCAAGACAGAGGACTATCTCAAATTGCTCAAGACAAGAGTAACGGACAAAAGAGTGATGAAGGGCCACTGCGCTTCAGTGAACCCAATAATCAAATTAAAAGAGATAGTTCAATCAAAGAAACAAACATTGAACATCATATAGATAAAAGTACATCGACCATTTTTATGTATACGAAAAATACTGAAGAACTAGAATCGGATAAAGGAACAGACGAGAGGGCAGGAAAATCGGAAAGACAGACCCTTTCAATAAGTACTTCAACCGAAGCCGATAATGCGCATGCACAATTCCATCAGTTTGGGATGATAAATGGTCCCCACTTAGGACCTTACCCCCATTCGTGCCCACTAGCATTTTATTACCCATATGTTCCTAAGCCCGGATACTGTCCAACTATATGTTTTCCCTCCATGCACCATAAACCGCCATCCTGTTTTATGGGCTATAAAGAATGCGCGAAAGTACGTAGTAGGACGCAAAGAAACAAATGCCAATATTGTGCCAGAAGGGATTTCATGAAAAATTTAAGCCATGTCTGCAATGATATCTACAGCTCAGAATCAGACTCGGATAATATCATGGACCTAAACAAAGGACTTCATTATATGAAAAGAATGAATAACAAATACTATAATAACAAAAGACAAACAATTAGAGCAAATAAATTTGCTTACGCGACCCCATTCGGATTCCAAGGTTATGACACTAGTTGTGATGAAAAAAGCTCAAGTGAATACCTGACAAGCTCAGGCCGGAGCACAAATACGAGTTCGGAATCAGAATTGGAACGTTAGGCCCCTAATTATTACGAAGACTCAAGCAGAAATAACAGGAGAATGAATAGGATGAAAGCAGGTTCTAGACGCCTTAAGTGAGAGGCGAAATCGATTTAGTAAAAGGCTGACACGAAATGATATCCGAAGATCGCCTGTAGCAAGAAGATAATCGATTAAAATTGGCAATCATGAAATATTACAGCATGCGTGCTGATATCAAAGATTTGAACCCTAAACCTTAGTAAGAGTGGAATGTCATAAAACCAGAATACATTCGAGCAGGAGTTTCTATTCAAGCTGAGAGATGACGTGTAATCATGAAGCACAAAACGCCAAAGTAAAGAGAATGAAGAAAGGCTCAAGTGATTTAAAAACTTTATGGGAGTCCAAAAATAGCAATAACAAGAGACAATAAAAACAAAGGAATTCATGGGTGGCGAGTTATCTACTTGTCTTTAGAAGAGGTTTCTTTTAGAGCTTTGGCATTTCTTCGAGATTCTTTTTTAGAGAGCTTGGTCAATTTTTTAAGGAGCTTTTCCCGCTGTTTTTCGGAAAGATTTTTCAAAAATTGGAGTGTTAAATCGTGCTCGACATCTTCATTTCGTTGCTCCACCTTTTTAAGTCCTTCTTTGGCTTTGTACAATATGGAATTGAACCCGGTCACATTAGTTGCTTTCTTGAATTCAAGTCCTTCCTGACGAAGGCTAGCTTTCGCATGATCAAGGGGTAGAACATCATCAGGTGTTGGCTCTTGTGTAAAGGACTGGCCAAAAAGAGGGCATACTCTGTCTGTATTCATGTGCCCCCACTGCTTACAGCGCATACAGCGGACATTTCTAACCTCAATTCCAAAAGGCTGATCTGTAACTTCAGAGGAGTTTTTGCAGTAGCTTTCTCTAGGAGCATTATATTTGCGTTGCCATTCAAATTTAGTTTCTTTTGGATTTATCTCAGGTTCCTAAAATAAGGGTGAACATGAGCT